TAGTTACAGGATGAGAGCTACGCTCGTGGTGTCCCGTCTTCCCAGCACTCTTTGTCATATAACGCTTTGAAACTACTGACGGTCTTGGCCTCCACCACCTTCTCACTTAACTTGTTCCAACCGTCTACCACTCTATTTGCGAAGGTGAATTTTCTTATATTTCTTCGGCATCTGTGTTTAGCTAGTTTAAATCTATGACCTCTTGTTCTTGAAGTTCCAGGTCTCAGGAAGTCTTCCCTGTCGATTTTATCAATTCCTGTTACTATTTTGTACGTAGTGATCATATCACCTCTTTTTCTTCTGTCTTCTAGTTTTGGCATATTTAATGCTTCTAACCTCTCCTCGTAGCTCTTGCCCTTCAGTTCTGGGAGCCACTTAGTAGCATGTCTTTGCACCTTTTCCAGTTTGTTGATGTGCTTCTTAAGATATGGGCACCACACAACAGCTGCATATTGTGTGTGTGTGTGTGTGTGTGTGTGTGTGTGTGTGTGTGTGTGTGTGTGTGTGTGTGTGTGTGTGTGTGTGTGTGTGTGTGTGTGTGTGTATGTGTGTGTGTGTGTGGAGTGGAAAAAAAAGAGTAGTTAGTAAACAGTTGAGAGGCGGGTTGAAAGAGCAAAGCTCAACCCCCGCAAACACAACTAGGTGAATACTAGGTGAATAAATGTGCACACACAAATAACACCACATGAGACCATAAGGCATGGCAGGATGTGCAAAATAGCCCCATTGAAAAGCATTAGTGCAATAGGCATGTCTGAGAGAGAACTCTATCAACATCAAAGGTCCAAGCCTTTTCAACACACTCTACACATACGGGGACATAACTGGTCGACCCCTCACAGTGTTCAAAAGATAACTTAACACCATCAAAATATATCTGATCAACCAGGCTGCAAGTCATACGTCGGGCTGCGAGCAGCTGCACTGACCAGACCACCAACCAGGAGGCTTGGTCAGAGACTGGGCTGTGAAGATGTTGATCCTCAGAATCACCGAGAGGTATAATAGGGTAATTAGCAAATGTGAGCAATACAACTTACTGGGTAATTATTTATTTTAAATAGCTGTGTGTAACATGAAATTATTGTATAGAACTGGTAAATAAATAGGCAAGACCTAAGGCAGTCATCCAACAATGTAATTTCTCAACAAGGTTTGCCAAAATATAAAAACCCTCAATCAATTATGTTTATGATTTATTGACTGAACAACTGTATAATAAAATTCTGATACAGTATATGCTTTAAGCAAAATACTTCATGGGTATCCCCATGACTGTATATTGCACAGTCACTAGATTAATCCATATACTGTACTGTATATATATATACAGTGTCATTCATTCCTCGTCCTTGCCATCTTCTCATTTTCTTCCAAAATAACTGCATAACAGAGTGAACTTGCTCAAATGAACTATATGGTGGAAACAGGTTCAATGCACAGTGGACTTGACTGATCAACCAGGCTCTTTGGCAAACAACATAAGGTTTATAGAGGGCCTACAACCACTGTAATCCATATTCAGATTTGTTACTTACAAGGAGAATGATGTGTGATACATATATGTATTTTAGTAACTCTTGAGCAAAATTAGTTAAGTACAAACCCATTCTAACCAGCCTTCATCCAGCATTTAAAAAAAAATCAAAAAATTAATTATCAATTTATTTTGACTCATTTGCCTGATCACTCAATCATACATTAGTCTTTACTAAAATTATTTACAGTACATATTTAATTATAAAGAAATTTGTTGTAATGTTTGTTACTGAGTGAAGGATGAGGCCTCGTGGCCCCAGTATGGTGGCAAGGAGGCAGAATGATGGCTGCTATACACCTCGTCTAGTATCATATCAATCTTCTGCTCAGTGGAAAATATTTCCATTCTTGCCACCTTCTGTGCCATGACTGCTGCTGTAAGGCACCTTGTTAACCACTGAACTGCGCAACGCGCCTGCAGGCAGTCGACGGGGGGTGAGTAACGCGCCTCCGGGTATTTTTATTTTTCACGTTTCATTCAAAACTGGCATGCAATGACGCGGATACGAAATAGATGCCTGGGGGCCCCAGTGATCGTCCACCATCTTGAAAAAAATCCCAGCATGCCCCACAGCCGTGGGGAGCCTTAGTTTCAAGGCAGCAACCATGTCTGACGCATCTTCTACGAGCTCGAGCTCCACGGTCACCCGCAGTCATGGAAAACGACTCTCTGAGGAGGAGATACACGACATTTTGTATGATGACTGCTATGGATGATGACTTAGACTATGATCCAGAGAAAGCCCTTACACAGAGGTCTGATATGAGTGAGGGAGAGACTGAGGTGGATGATGTAGCAAGCGTGTACGGTACAAGCGCTTCACCCGGCCTGCCTTGCCGCCCTGGGTCAACACTGTTATCACCACCACCACCATGTATGTCCCCAAATGCAAGTTTATTCAGTGATAGTACATGTGATGAATCTTTCTCGGGCTTCAGTGGCATAGGCTCCGATACAAGTAGTGTGGACGACCCGAGTACGAGCAGCAAGGGTGTTACCAGGCAGGGTTTTGCTGCCTCAGCAACACGTCGCGGCGTGGCAGCGTGTCTCGCAGCAACAGGACAATGACAACAGTGGACCCTGTACATCAGGTGTTCGTGGTAGGCCTACGATACGTAGATCAGCCTCATCTCCTGCCATATTCTCTCGCAGCCCCAGCACCAGACGACGTAGCCGTGTTTTTGGTGCTCGTGGTGGTGTTAGCCGTGGTGTTGGTCCCAAAACCAAACCCTCGGGTGTACTTGTGTGGGAGGATTGTGCCACATTTGTGCCACAAATACGAACGTTTGATGCTACCAATGTTGGTGTTATACCATTATTCCCATATACAGGTGATGATATGGCAGAAATAGACTATTTCCTGGCGTATTTCGACAACAAATTCATGACCCATCTTGTGACTGAGACAAACCGATACACTCATAGTCTCATATACGCCAGCATTTTACAGCACTGTCCGTATATGGTGGCAAAAAATTATCCTGACTTGACCTAGACTCTGTGCCAAATATCTGGTTACTGTATCCGGATTTGTCCAGATATGGCAAAAACTATCCGGACGTAATTTTGTCCTGATAACCCAAATATTCGGTTTAGTGGAAGTGGGATATGCATACATATACAGTGCAGGTACAGTACAGTGGTACCTTTGTTCACGATCGTAATCCGTTCCAAGACACACGTCGTCATCCAAAAATTCATCAACCAAAACGAATTTTCCCATAAGAAATAATGTAAATTGAATAATCCGTTCCACACCCCCAAAAATATTAACTTAAAAATACATTTTATACAGAATACTACTCATATTTTTCATACACAAAATAATCTTGTATAAACCATAAATAAAATAAGTGAACATTTAACTGCACCTTACCTTTACTGAGGACTCTTGGTGGTGTATGGGAGACAGTGAGGAGGGAGGGAGGAGCGGTGTTGGTGTATGGTGAGGGTGAGACCATTCCTTGCTCGCCTTAAACACTTTCGTATCTGCATCACAGGTTCAGATTTTCCTTTCAAACATTTCACTACCTCTGTTATGTGGCAGCCAGTCAGAACCAGTCAGTCACAAGTCAGTCATAATCAAAGACAGTCAAGCATTCACAGTTGTGGTAGAAACCGGTTAGGCATTTAATCATTCAGCCATTTACAGTCAATCAAACTTTCACAGTCAGTAAACAACAAGGGTTTAATGTCATTCAGTCTGCCTCATGATTCACCAGCTGGTAGCAAAAAGCCCGTATTAATACCATCCAGACGTGGCTGGGAGGATACACCTGGGGGAGGGGGGGGGGTCCGGTTTGGGGGATGAAGGGAGCGGGGAGGGTCCAGTGGCGGTATAAGGGTAGCGGGGAGGGTCCAGTGGCGGTATAAGGGTAGCGGGGAGGGTCCAGTGGCGGTATAAGGGTAGCGGGGAGGGTCCAGTGGCGGTATAAGGGTAGCGGGGAGGGTCCAGTGGCGGTATAAGGGTAGCGGGGAGGGTCCAGTGGCGGTATAAGGGTAGCGGGGAGGGTCCAGTGGCGGTATAAGGGTAGCGGGGAGGGTCCAGTGGCGGTATAAGGGTAGCGGGGAGGGTCCAGTGGCGGTATAAGGGTAGCGGGGAGGGTACAGTGGCGGTATAAGGGTAGCGGGGAGGGTCCAGTGGCGGTATAAGGGTAGCGGGAGGGTCCAGTGGCGGTATAAGGGTAGCGGGGAGGGTCCAGTGGCGGTATAAGGGTAGCGGGGAGGGTCCAGTGGCGGTATAAGGGTAGCGGGGAGGGTCCAGTGGCGGTATAAGGGTAGTGGGGAGGGTCCAGTGGCGGTATAAGGGTAGCGGGGAGGGTCCAGTGGCGGTATAAGGGTAGCGGGGAGGGTCCAGTGGCGGTATAAGGGTAGTGGGGAGGGTCCAGTGGCGGTATAAGGGTAGCGGGGAGGGTCCAGTGGCGGTATAAGGGTAGTGGGGAGGGTCCAGTGGCGGTATAAGGGTAGCGGGGAGGGTCCAGTGGCGGTATAAGGGTAGTGGGGAGGGTCCAGTGGTGGGATGGGTGGTATGGGGGAAGCAAGAAGGGTGTGGCTTGGGGTACGGAGGTACACCCCACCATCCATCCAGTCCCCCCCACAATCCATCCAGTCCACATTCACCATCCAGTCCCCCCCCACCATCCATCCAGTCCCCCCCACAATCCATCCAGTCCCCATTCACCATCCAGTCCCCTCACCATCCATCCAGTCCCCCCCCCATCCATCCATCTAGTCCCCATTCACTATCCATCCAGTCCCCTCACCATCCATCCAGTCCCTCTATCTATCCATCCAGTCCCTCCACCATCCATCCAGTCTCTCCACCATCCATCCAGTCCCTCCACCATCCATTCAGTCCCCCCTCCACTCCCCTATCCATCCATTCAGTTCCCCCCTCCATCCTTCTATCCAGTTCCCCCACCATCCATCCAGTCCCTCCACCATCCATCCAGTCCCCTCACCATCCATCCAGTCCCCCCTCCATCCATCCAGTGCCCCCACCAGTCATCCATCCAGTTCCCTCACCATCCTGGGACCCATGGTGTAATATATAATAAAAACTTTATTGTTCAGAAAACAAAAAGCAGAAAAATAATGAAATTCTTTTAAAAAAATTCATGATCGGTCGTCGGAATAGACTTGTAAAACAAACTGAGAGCGCCTCGCCCCATGCCCCCAGCACCAGTTGAATTCTCATTCGACCCACACGTGTACGAACAGATGTCTTCCAAGTAAACCATTGTGTACCAATTCCAATTTTACAACCAATTTGATGTCGTGTTCCAAAAAATTCGTCTTCTAGGGCAATCGTCAACCAAGGTTCCACTGTACAGTATATGTATCAAGCCGTTTTATTACTTGATAAAATCTGTGTAATAATTTATGTATTTTTTAATGTTTGGACTTTTTACTAAAATCTTTTGGACATAGACGAGTAGCAATAACACACGGTGCAATTATATTTAAGCTAATTTGTGTTTTTTATATATCACTGTTTAATGTAAAATGTTACATTTATCATACTGTATGGAGTCTGTCTTTTATTTTATGTACAGTATGCAATGCAGTTCAGACTAGGTTGGCTGTTAACATGACCAAGCTGGCTCAGAAGTAGCTGAGGTGAACAATTCTCATAAACACAAACATTTCTTCAAACCCCTGAACAATTTGAATTTAATACAAAAAGATTTGGCCAATGCAGGAATTTGATAAGAGTGAGGTTTCACTTGTATGTGTAAACCAGCTTAAGAAAATTTACATTTGAAATATTTCTATGGCAGTTTAACAACAAAACTACACTAATCCTCATCCAGGCATCGGTTAACATGCTCTTCCAGAGGGCGGTATTGAGTGAAGGATTTATTACACTTTGGACAATAGAACAGGTTTTCATCTAACTCTTCTTCCTTCCTTTCTTCTTCCTGTAAGAAAATGGTAGAGATGTATAATGTTGATAATTTTATAATTGTATATTGCAGGGCAACTAAAGTATAGCATTGCATGAATTTTTTTTTTTTTTGAGATATATACAAGAGTTGTTACATTCTTGTACTGTACTGAATTACTTGCTGATATACAACTTCTATCTAAATACTGTACTGTACTGGTAAATATTAGTGTGTGGGGGGCTACAAAAGCAGTGCACTACGTTGTTCCAAGACTAATTTGTGTACAAATTATGTGACACATTAATGCAATAGGGTACAATAGTTTAAACTTGTTCTCAACTCTAGGTCAGTATTATGCACAAAACAAAATTTTTATGTATTGTATATTTTAAAGATTTATTTGTAAATGAGTTTAATATTTTTCAAAGCATAAAAAACCAGCGTTGAATGTAATGAAACGCCACTTTCTGGGTGAGTCCCGGAGGCTCCCCGGAGCTATCCATGGCTGATATGGATACCCTAACTATTTTGCATCAGTCGATGTGGGTGGAGTTCTAGGCCTACCGGGGACCACGAGCTAGAACCTGGCCCCCTCAGAGAGGCATGGGGAGCAATGGCCCATAGAAATGCACATGTGATTTGGAGCATTCTATATCTGCCATCGACCGGGACAGGCACCCAGAAAGGTAAGCGCCACAAAACAAACCCCTATTCTGGTTAACAACAAAAATCGACAAACGAGTGGACAGAACTCCCCCAGGAAAACAAACTAACAAGCATGACGTCACACGAGCCGCGCCGCATGTCTGCGCAGCTCCCCCCTCCCCGGGAGGGGGAAGGGGAAGCCCCAGACCCCCGCGCCGGCGATCCCTGCCCCAGTTCTGAGGCTGGATATCAAAACCGCGAAAAACCCCCGCCGACCGGAGGGCGGGAGGGTGCCGGGGAGCCTCCGGGACTCACCCAGAAAATGGCGTTTCATTACATTCAACGCTGATTTTCTGGGGGAAGCCCCTACGGCTCCCCGGAGCTACCTCACCAAAGACTACCTAAGAAAACAAGGAGATATACCCGGGAGGCGGTCAGTGAATCACTCCTCAACACGAAGTCGAGACAACAACCCAAGGTGTATCATCCGCCAGAAAAAAGGGAGAACGGCCGCAGACGAAGAAACTTATGACCAAGACCATAGGAGCCAAAAACCACTGCGCTTGAGAAGAGCAAGAAGCTCTGCCACACGACCCCCAGAGGCGAATGCCAACACAAAATGAAAACCGAGGCAAAGCAAACCTGACCCCCAGGAGCCACAACCACCAAGGAGAAGAAAAACAGGAGAGCACCCTGTCCAAAGACCAGGACGACACAGGCAGTGCATAAGCAGGCCGGAGGTGTAACAACGCACGATACAAACTGCGAAACGGCGCAGAAGGAATATCGACACCGAAAGCTAGCAGCAGAAACCAAGGTGCCAGACCCAGGAACGGACCCAAGCGCCTCTACATCCTCCGCAAGCCAATCCTATGACAGCCCCAGGAGGGAAAAGAAAACGCAGGACCAAAACGAAAATGCCACAAGTGTGCAAGTCCACCTCCACAAGTGCAGCTGACAGGGAAGGAACTCGCATAAGGAGCCGCCCCGCACCAACATCCCGCAGAAGGGCAGGAGCGAAAAGACTCATTAAGAGGAGCAAAATCGCTCCCAGGAAAACTAGTAGCGCCGAGACAGTGTGAAGAGAAGAGATATTCACAAAAGAACAAAAAGGCCAACACCCAGAAGCTGCCGGGAAGAGGACCCACAAGCCCTACAAAGGACCGGAGGGAAGCTCAACTGAATGACGACAGACGCACCAGAAAACGGGAAGGAGCAAAACCATCCCAAACCTTCGAGAACAAAAAGAAGCAAACACAAAGCACAAAGGCACCAAAACCCCGTCGCACCCGAGACCAAAAGTCATGCAGAAACCCCAAGAAGAGGGGGACATGACGGAGAAGGCCCGTCCCGGAAAAAAGGGGCGAAGATCGTAGAAAAGCACCCACCAACAGGACGGAAACAACAGGCATAATAGACAAGGAAACCGAGCCCAGGGAACGGAAAACCCCACACCACAAAACTGCAAGTCCCTCCCAGAGGGGTAGAAACACCCTGGCGGGGACCAACGGGGCCTGAGGCCCCTCACGTGAGCCCCACCCCAGCCCCGGGAACCCACCCTGCAGGCTCCGGGGCCGAGCTGTCCCCTCAAAGCCCCAGCGTCAAGAAGAACCCCGGGGCAGCCGTGAAAAACACGAAGGAAGGGAGCCCACTAGGCTCTGGAACTTGAACCGAAACCGGAGGATAGGCGAGGGGCGAGATGAAGACCCCAAGCTCATCCCCAGCCAGCACAATGAGGCGAGGACAAGACAGATAATCCAAGGAACATGGAAAAACCAGGCCAGGCACAGCAAGACCGGCAAGGAAGGAGAGCCCCAGAGGGAGCACGTAAGGGCCGAACATAACACCACAACCAACCCCGACACGCAGCTGCAGCACCAAAACCGCAGCAAAATGTCACCACTTCCCCAGAGGAAGCGACAGAGACGATAGATAAATCGTACACGAGTGGCACACAAGGGGACACAGGCGGAAACCGAGCACCCAACTGAGCCACAGGGACGGTAGAAGAAACGTGTGCAGTGTAACAGGCAATCAAAGGAACACATTAGGCAGCCCAACATGGGCCGACCCCATACACAGCCCCAAGAGCAGAGATGAGAGTGCCCAAGAAGCACAGAATCCGCCCGACAGGCAAACGACAGGGGAGAGGCGGAAACAAAGAGCCAGAACCCAACCTGCAAGCACAAGGAGGCGAACACAAAACCTCCGACACAGGAAAACGTACTACCAAACAGGCACCCCCACCGTTGCACTGCAGAACAAGGTGGAGGCGGGGCCCCGAACTCGAGCAAGGTTAGACAAGCATAGGAGAGGGGCAGGAGGAGTACAGGCAGGAACCGCCTCGGAAGGGACAAGAGGCCACCCGCAGACACCCGTGAACCGAAGAAGGAATCAGGTGGAGAGAACAAGAGCTGCCCAGTATGGGCTAATAGCCCTGCAGTAGGCACCTCGGGTGATACAGTCCAAGTTCTCAAGTACGTATGTACACCCATTCCTACTCCCAAAAACAAAAACAGCGTCAGGACAAAGGAGACACCAAACCGCACGAACTCGCCTGCAGAACACAGGCTCTGAAGGGCCATGACGCAAGCGTTCGAGTGCGTATCCGCCGGAGGCGGCCAGTGCGCCCATGCTGGAGAGGAGGGGATAGGCGAAGGAGGATCCCCACCCTAGAACGCAGGGAAAAACCTCATCATTTCCCCACAGCGGCACCCCAGAACACCCCCAAAGCAACGGGGCATGGATTGCATTAAGAAAAGAGCGAGAGGCGAAGCCCCCCGAGAGAAATGGAAGCAGAACGCGTGTGCACACCGCCCGGAACCAAAACAAACTCCCACGGCGCATGCGCAGGACGCGAAAGAAAGTAGCCCAACAAGGCGAGAAGTAGCCCAACCAGGCGCGAAGTAGCCCAACAAGGCGAGAAGTAGCCCAATAAAGCGAGAAGTAGCCCAACCGGCTACAAGGAGCCCAAACGGCGACAAAGGAGCCGAAACGCCTACAAAGGAGCCCAAACGGCTACAAAGGAGCCCAAATGGCTACAAGGAGCCCAAACTGCCACAAAGGAGCACAAACGGCTACAAGGAGCCCAAACGCCTACAAGGAGCCCAAACGGCCACAAGGAGCCCAAACGGCCACAAGGAGCCCAAACGGCCACAAGGAGCCCAAACGGCTACAAGGAGCCCAAACGCCTACAAGGAGCCCAAACAGCCACAAGGAGCCCAAACGGCCACAAGGAGCCCAAACGGCTACAAGGAGCCCAAACGGCTACAAGGAGCCCAACCTGTCCAGAACAGACGGAACCAGTATGGAGGCAAACTCCGGGACACGCAGGAGGTAAGCCGCAAAGGCCAACTGCACCGCAGGCGAAGAGATGCGGTTAGCCGAAAACCTCCGGAAGACGGAACCGAAGAAACCACAGGGACACGGAACCGAACCCGGGGAGGAGCAGAACCCAAGCCCTAATCGTACGCAGAGGGGGGAAAGAAAACCCCACTCCTCACAACAGTAAGCCCCGCTCAGAAGAACGGAAATCCAGGCGGGGCGCAATGGACCCCAAGGCCCCCAAGGCCGCTCCTCCCCCAACCCCAGGAGCCTCTGCACCAGGCCCCGGAGCCGAGTCGACCTCCAAAGCCCCGGCCCCACAAGAAAAAGCCGGGGCAGCCGAGAGAGCTGAAAGAGAAGAGGCCCACTGGTCAGACCCCGGAGCATCGGCCGGAGGAACAGACTCGAATGCCTCCGCAGCTACCCTGGACGGGGCAACCCCCGAAACTGCCCAAGTCTCAGAACCTCTAACCCCACCCTGACCCCGAAGCCTGCAGATGCATAGGGGCCGGAAGCAGGAGGGGGAAAAACAAGGGGGGCATGGAAGAACCAAGGCCGAAGCGATCAAAACCCCCAAGTCTGGGTCCCTACACAAGCGGGGCAGCATCGGGGTGTCCGGGGAAGCGACAAACCAGAGCGCGTTGCAACATCCTACCCTGCAACGCGCGAGCTGCCTGCACCCACGGGAATTCATCAGCAGACTGGGTGAATGGAGTCACGAACAAGCAACAAAGCTCGCAGGACTCAGGGTCGAATGTGTCACCGACCCAACAGGCAGCATGACGGAGGCAAAAACAAGGAGTGTTACCCTGAGACAAAGGGACAGAGCAACCCTCAACTCGCACAAAGCGAGAGGGGACGCAAGGGTCTCCACTACCGGACCCGAGAGCCCCCGGGGGGTTTCCCAGGGCCCCTAGACTGGGTCTGCTAAGGGTTATCCCAGGCAGGGCACTGCTAACCGGCGCCCCAAACTACCAAGCAAACTGCTAAAGCTGAACCCACGGGACGTGTCCACTCGCGAGGGCAAAGCAGGGGGTGCCACCACACAAATGAACCTAATATAA